AAACCACTGAAGTAAACTTAATGAAAATGAGCCTCAAAGTTAACTCTGTTCCACGATGTTAAGGACTTTTTCTTAATCCTAGTGAAAACATAATACATTTATGATATAAATAGTTAATTATACAAAGTTATGCATTAATTTTTGCTGTATTAAGTTGACTTGAAAATGGGAATAAAATATGTAACCACTCTGCTGTAAATTAGATGTCGAGTATACTCATAATTTGTTAAAATACTGTAATGTAATGTATTTATTAAATTCTAGTTAAATTATAATTTATTGCATATGAAGAACGATTCTGAACAATTATAAGCGAAAAATCTGTCAGCCTATATTACTAAGTATAATTATAATTTATTTTACTAGGTATTAGTAATATATGATGTTGAATTAACTTTTTCTAAAAACACTACATTATTACATTATTAATATTTAATTATTATAATAGTATATATTTAAATTAAATATTATTGTTATTAATTTTTGATTTAATATTAATTTACCCTAGAACAATGTGAATGTTTTTATATTTTAAAAACAATAGTATACAATGAAATAAAATGTTATGTATATAAAATATACTAATATAGTAAAAAATTCAAATTCCCGCCTAAAATATTTATAAATTACAACATAATAATTAAAAACAATAAAATCACTGTATAAAATTTTTTTTATAAATTACAGTGAAATAAAAAAATCCTTAGATGAGAAAATATTTATGAAATTAAAATTTGTTATAAAAATGAATATTAAAATGTTTATAAATTTATATCTATGTATAAAATAATTTGAAAATATTCGAGATTTTAACAAAATTCTAGCTTCAAAAGCTCATAAAAAATTATTTTAATATTAATTTGATACATTAATTTTTTTTAATAATACTAATAAGTAGGTAATAATGACTTAGGAAGAATCGTGTAATTCTTTTTAAGTTTTTTGACTGAGTGAATGTTTCATTTATAAATTTATAAATTTAAAAAAAAAATAAATACTTTATGTTATTATTTTTTTAAGAGTAATATTCAACTTGTACAAAATGGCACGATACGCATATTAATTGCAGAGAGTAAGAAAAAAATAACATGAGATTACTTATTTAAGAAATCACCCAGTAGTAACGGTAAAAAATAAAACCTAAAAAAAAATTTTAAAGCCCATAAATAGCAGCTCAAAAAAAGTCAAAATTGATAAAAGTATTATGTAAATAAAATTTCAATATTTATATTTAGTGAACATTCAAGTATCCTCAGTTATTTGTTTTTAAATTACACCAAAAAAAAAACAAAATTTATTTTACCCAAAATCGTTTTTGCGCAAAATTTCCCATATTTTCTTGATTTTTTGTTTTGCTTTGCTCGATTATATTGAAAAATATTAAAAAATTTTGATTTTTACACTTTAAAAATAGTAACTAGATATAATTGTGTTTCCAGAAAACATCTCAAAATTTAAAAATCAATACATTCATTGCTAGTTTTAAAATATATATTATTATACCACATAATGTTTTACTTATAAAATATTTTCATAGAAAAATTAAACGCTAGGCAACATTAAAATAAAATGTTCATAAATATTTAATAATTTACTAAAATATATCATAAAAAAATTATTGAGAACTAAAAAATAAATAAATGACTAACGATTTAAAATATTAATTAATATATAGCAATATTATTGAAAATAATTTTTAAATATTTACAAAAAAAAAGTTAAATAAACAAATTAATTTTATAGTTATTCAATATATTTTATATTCAAAAATAATTAAAGAATATTTACTATTTATTTTGTTTTTATCTATGTTAAAAGTATATTTTGGTTGCTTTTAATTTTCAATATAAAACAACTATGAAGTATATATTATTTTTTTTTTAAAAATACCGTATCAAGAACTTTTAAATTATTTTATTTAAAAAATAAGTTTTCGTAAAAGTTTTTATTTAATGTTTAAAAATTAAGTTAAATGTTTGCATAAATATATAACGTATTAAACATCTTAGTTTGATTTTTATGCGTAACCTAACATGGCCTAAAACTGCGGACACTTGGTAACAAGTTGATTTTCCTTTGATTTTTAATTGTCTTTTATACGCTTATAAATTTATGATGCAACCTCTACATATACGTATTATTGTTTTTTTTTATTTGAATTTTCTTTTAACTCTCTCTTTGTCATTCTCTTAATTTATATTCTTTCTGATTGTCTATTTCTTTCTTAAAAATACCAACCCATTTTACTTGTTTTTAGACTTGGTTATGCTTTACTTTTTACTTCTCCTGAATTCCCATCATACAACCTCCATTACCACTAAATTATACATTTTTTATATAAGCTGGCGCAGCTAAAATCATTTTAAATAACAATAATATATATCATAATTATATTGTCATCTTTTAGATAAAAAAAATTTGACATAACCTTTAAGAAAAACATTAAGTATAATTATATTTTAAATAAAGATTTATGAATGAAAATTGAAAGAGGGTTTTATGTAAAATAATGTTTACAAACAATAAAAATTAACTTAATATCTATGTATAAATATACTCTAATGGACTAAAAGAAAACACATTTAATGTTAAATTATGATAAAAAAAATCAATTTACATTATAGTTATTCTAAGACGTTTTAAATATTACTTAATTTAATTGATGCTAAAATTTTAAATACGTAAAATGTGTATGTTAATAAAAAAACCTTAATAACTAAACACGATTTACATGTATTTAAAACTTCTTTACTAAAAATACGAGCATGAAAAAAAAAATTAAGGTACCTACTTTTTATTTTATTAAGATATCAAATAATAGATATTAAAATGTTTTACAAACAATTCGAAGTCACTAAAACTTCTCTCGCTATCAACTATACCTCAGGGCTATAACATAATCTAATATTTAGTGTGTTTATTTACTTTAAAGTTTAAGAATAGTTTGTAAATGGTATAGACAATCGAGGGATGAGTAGAAGAAATCTTCTATTTATATCATCCCTGTAGTATATATTCTAAAAGGGCAGCTTAAAACTCCAGATACTCTAAATCTTTAGCCCTTGTTAATTTCTCTGTTAAAATTGACCTGACTGTTAATCTCGAGCCTCATTGAGTAATTTAGTTAATATTACTAACATTGTATTTGAATTATGTAAATGATAATCACAAATATTTATCTGTATTTTATCCATACTATTAATCATAAATTCTATTTTGCAATTACACTTATGAAAACATTATTGTTTCTGTATGATAAAGATGAGTAATTTTAATCATACTTTAAACATATATATCAAATTATAATATTATAATAATTGAAAAATATTGTATTTGAAAATATAATAATAATATAAACATCGATAATAAATACAATTTAAACAAATGATTTTCTATTAATAATGTATTAATTATTTTACCATATAATATTTTTAAAGTTTAAAATTAATACTATTTAAAATAAAAAATCGCATAAGAAAATATTATTTATCTCTTATATTGTTTAATAAAAATCAAATATATCATAATAATCTAATTTTTGAACATTATTCTAGGTATTTTAAGTATATATAAAAATATATTACACAAATGTAATATATTGTTAATTAAATAAATAATATATGTTTTATCCTGTAAGAAATATTTAATAACACTCAAGTAGTTTTTAAATATATGTTTAAACTTTTCTGTTATTATCTCTTGTACTTATTGTAAAAATACTTCACAGATTGTACAATAACAAATAAACGACAAAAAAAAAATATGTTAAAAAAAAAAAAAACACTTTTAGGATTTTACTATAATGTATTAAATATAATAAGTTATTAAAGGACAGAATTCCACTGGAATACATTTTTCTCCGTGGAATTGAAAACCACCTAAAATGGAATTTCAGAGAATATGAATATATGATCATGATATAAAATCGGAAGAGGCGGTGCAATGGCTTTAAATTTGCGCTTGTCACGGTAGATAAAGAACACTTGTGGTAGCCCATCATCCTCAAGCAGATATTTGATGCACTTTTTACTAGTGTGCCTAATGATCCAAATACTAAGATTATGTTACGACATGTTTTTCGGTTCATTCGCCTTAGAGTAAATGATTTTAATCGTATTTTTCACTCCATTGTACCTTCAGCGTTGGTAAAAATATCAGCAACCCTCATGCTAAATTTCTTTTATGCATTTATTAGTATAGTAGTATTAAGTATACAAACGAAAACAATTTATACACAATTTTAATATTTATACTTTTATAGTATAATCATTATTACTCTAATCTCACTCAAGATAAATATATACTTAAGAGTCTCAATTTGTTTTTTTTTTATTATTATTATTATTTAAATACTACAATAAATGTATTTTTTAATAACACAATTTTCGCTATTAGAAATTTAAATAATTTATTCATAAATAATAAATTTAATATTGTTTTACAAATCCATAATATAATGTATGTCCACATGCGTTATTTATTTTGTAAAATTCTTTATACATTTTTCTGTTGAACTTTTTTAATCGATATCTAAATAAGTATATATAAAGGTAAATATTTATATATTATGTATTTAATGCAAATACATAATAGTACCTTAAAAACATACAATTTTTTGAGAATTGATCTTTGTCTCTTTATTTTTAGACTGAAGGTATCAGTTTGTTGATCGAAATAGAAAAATAATACTTTTAATACAATACAGTATAAAATCATAAAAAATGTAAAAAAAAATAGGGCTAAAAAAAAGTTTCTGCACTTTAAATTATACATCCATCATAAAACAAGTATCTAATATACTTATATGCATTCGATTAAAAAACTTCTGTTAAATTTTAATATAAAGTTATTTTATTACTAAACCATATAATTAAGTATAAATGTATAAATAATAAATATTTAAGTTATAAATTGAAAATTTCATCGTGTAATTTTAAGTTGTTATTCAATTTAAAAATAGCATAATAATATTGATTAAATGTTTTTTTATTTGTTCCTAGGTCGTTACGTTCGATTAGAAAGAATGCTCACGTTGTACTTGTCGCTTTAGTAAGGAAAAGGTAATCAATTTCTTTACACTTATACAGTAATTCGATGGGCAATGATGCGAAACCTATTGGTTGATAAAGTATAACGTATATGTTTTTTTCAGCCTAGTGTTGAGAAACGAAAAAGACGTTACGTCCATTTTAACCAGTGGATTTAATAAGGTATTATTTTTATTTTTATTCAATTTTTATTGCTCAATTGTATTGCATACGATTAATAAAAATCCTTACGTAGAATCTCCATTTTTAAATACAATCCTGCATAATAATTTTTAGTTTCATTTTAAGTGATTTTATCAATATATTATCGTTGCTTTAAACATATTACATATACAATAAGTAAAGGGTATTATTTTTCTTTTCTTCGAATATTATCTTATATTGTTATATTTTTCATAATTTATTATTATACATTATCAATATATATTCACATTATTACTTTGTTAATAATTATAAATACTATTTTGTGTTTTGTATCCTGTAAAAGTGCCTATTTTACCTTTCGAAAACTAAATTTTATAAAAGAGAAAGGAGATATAATTTATGTATATAATATAATTTATTAATGATTACGAAATTTAAAATAAAATTAACATTTTATAATGTAAGTAAAAAAAATATAATTTTATCTAGAGATTATTTTTAAATATTTATATTATTTTACTTTGGTATCTTTTTCATGATTTAATTATGTTTACTGCGTTAAAGTAGATTAACTCATAAAAACAAATAACATTTTATTTTTTATTTTTTATTTTTAATTAAATATTTTATGTTATATCAATAATTACCGGCAATGCTTTATTAGCTTTTAATTTGGATAGTTTTTTGTTTTCTTGTTTGTGTAGAATACTTAGTACGCAGTACACAATTATTTGTTTAATATAGGTATGGATTGGGTATAGGTACATAACATTTAAATAACTTGATCGGTGTTAATTTCTTTTAACGTAAAATATCATAAAATATTTCAAATTTGTCTTGTATATTTTTATAGTACTAAATAAATTTTAAAAACATTTTAAATGCAGTCTGCTAACAAAAAACTTACGTTTTTCAATTTTTAGCAAACATGTTTTGTTCGTAAAAAAAATAAACTAGTCTCTAAAACAAAAAATAATTATTTCATTAAAAATTATAATAACTATCGATGTTAAAATAAAAATTAGTGTTCACTTTTACCTACCTACTTATATTAAAGTTAAAAACTCAAACATTGTTCGAAAAATTGTTTGGTGTTCGATTTAGTGTAATGTCATTAATTATTCTAGATATCAGTTTTAAATTCTGACCAATAATATATTTATTTTCTTATGCAGTTAAAAAAAATGTTATGTTAATTAATTTTAATTAATTATTTAGTATTAATTGTTTATTTCTAATAAGAAAAAACAATAAATTTATTAATTAAAAGATATATTTTTATTATCTCTTTGATCATTTAAATATTTTTATCTGTAATTGCTTCATTATTTTATATGCTAAATTAAATTAATTAAGTATCATTTTAAAAAGTCTCTACTATCTATTTATATAGGCTCTATAATTTATTTTAAAAGATCTTGTTTACATACCTAGTTATTTTTGATGATTAATTTATTGACTGAGAAAAATTAATATTGAAAAATGATGTGTACCATAAATAAAAAAGTAAGGAACAGAAATTTTTAATGAACCATATTTTTTGTATTGGTGTGATTGGTTAGTTTATTTATTAAGTTAATATTGCATACGGATACCGCTCCAAAACTTTTAATAAATAAAAATCATATTTTAATTTTATCGTATTTTATTTTCCTCGAAATCACTTCTTTCTATTTTATTTTATAAATGTATAAATAAAATAGATTTTACCTAATTACTTATTTAGTGATTTATATTACAATTTACTTCCCAAGTTTTATCAATATTCTTATGAATATAAATAAATAGTATGGCTTTAAATATTTTAAATGTTCTAACTGCTGACCCGAGAAGAAAATATTATTGTCATTTTGAACCTTTCAAAGAAGCAAAGATAACTCATAACAATCAGATACCTTCATTTAATTTTGTTTCTTTTCATTATCTTGTACTATGATGAAACAGATATCAAACAGGAAATGTTAGTTCAATGATTAAGCCATAAATTTAAAGGAAGTTTCCAAATATTGAAATGCCTACCCAGTAAATGTTATGTTGTTATCATGAAGTTTATATTTTATTTTTATCAACTATTTATTTTCTTACTATATCAACATTTCATTTTATATCTAGAGAAAAAATAATCCTTTGTATAACAACTATTATTGTAGTTATTTAAATTGTATAAACTATAGTGATACAGTTAAACTTTCAAGATTTATCTAAAGAAACCACTATTCTACCTATTCCTAATTTAATACCTAATAGTACTATAATATTTATGTCTGGAAGTTTTATAATTTCAAAAATGGTAACCTATTATTTATTGAATATATTTTGTATTTAAAATATACATAACTTATTAATCGTATTATTTGGTTAATAGTTTATGATAATATACTTATTTATATACAGTATATTTTATAATTTAATTTATTGAAAAAAACATTTTTACAGATAATAGTAGAAACATGCAACAAAAACGTATGGATCAAAGAATTGCAGCAACTAGAAAAAGAAGATGTAGCGATGCGTTCAATATTAGCACAACAAGATGCAGTTTTAGCTGCACTAGACAAAACCAAAGACCTCGTTATCATTACCGACCTCAAACACAACATTCAAGTAAACATTTATCGAATTGAAAGATTAATATTTTATAACTTTAAACCCTTCTATTCTCTCTTTTGAGCTTTTAAAATGATCAATAACATCATTGGTTCGGTAAATATACTGACATGCGTAACATCCCTTGGGTGCATAATATATTTGTTTGCATTTGGATCAGTGTTTTTCTAGGTAAACTGAGGAATTCAAACAAATAAAAAACGATTTGAGAGCGAGAGGTTTTAGGTAAAACCACAAAATTAAATTACCTCATCCAAACTACAATAACCATTTTGCAAAAACACTTTGCTATTTAACATTTCCTGCCGGCTGTAATACGTAGTAAACTGATCAAATCTATTTTGTAAAATAGGGTAGATTCCAATTGATGCCTAAAATAATTATTTTATCAACAAAATAAATGTTTTTATCTTATTCAAATAATAATAAAATGATACAAACAAAAAATAGAACTGACCAACCAAAATTAGGATATCATTACTACCTATATTTCTCTCATTCAATTAATATTTAATAAATTTATGAGTAGATAAACTATAAAATATTATTATTATAAGTCAAAATATAGAATTATGAAATTTTGACTCAATTATTTTTGACATCTGCTTATATGCTTAATAAAAACAGCAATATTATAACATTTAAAGGGGATATACTGTATATATTATTTTTATACATTTTAAATTCGGCGTTAGGGAAATTTACGTTTCAATGTTTATTGCCTACATTTATAGTATTATGTTTTATTCATAGTACTGTAATATATAAAACATAACACAAACTTCTCCCAGAAAATCCAATTTTATTTAAAGAATTGTATTTGTTCAAAGTTTTTAAATGCAAAAATATAGTCATACTGACACTGCACAATACATATTACACGTGAATTAAAGTAATTTAACAATTTTTAATAAAAGCTGATAAATTATAAAATACAAACTCTGAATATAATTCAAATGTTTTTAATAATTAATTTTCGAAATAAACCAATATAATACTCTTTAAATTAAAATAACATTAATTTAATGAAAAATAATATTGTAATAAAAATTGTACTGCCTCAGAAGAACAGAAGTTTGAATTTAAACTAATTTTATTTGATGAAATAATAAAATAATTTACCAAATTGATGGAAATATTTACTTTAACGTTTTCGAAAAGGCTCGACGATTTTGTTTGTATTCCTTTCGATATTGAAGTAGTACGACCACTTTTGTTCTCAAGGAAAATCTAATTTCTACCAATTTATACTGGACTGGTGTTAAAAAGAATAAAAATAAAATAACGTTGTATGTACTCTTGTTTGAAGTTTCAACTTATGATAAGGTTCAATAAGGCATAATAAATTGTGTAAATATTTTAAAAATCTGCGCTTTTGCACAACCAATCTGATTTTATTTCAATTTTTGATAACCATTTTGCACTCCACAGCTTATTAATCTAGATATTAAAGTTTATAACCATAATTTTCTCTTTCTTTTTATCTGGTTCATGCAAAAAAATATGAATTTCAAATACTATACAATAAAATTATAATATAACTAATACAAACTACTCGTATTTTTATATTTTTCATAAGACTTTAATAAATAAAACACTCGTTAACTCTTCATCAACTTAATTCAAAAAAATTACTAAATATCTAATATTTAATTAGTTATAGACAATAGACACTTATTGTTTACACTTAGATAAATAGATAGGTAAGCCAATTTATATGTAATATATATATATTAAAATATCATAATAAATTAATTATATTATTTAAACTAAAAACAAATTAAGCCCAAAGAAATCAGATTTGAGTAAAAATTGAACAAACTTATTAAAAATAATAAAAATAACAATTACTAAAATTTTAAAACTTTAATTAAAATCTATAATTTTATAAAAAGTTTGTTAAGTTTTTATGAGATTATTCTTCCCTCTAATAGATATATATTGTGTTTTTATTGTGAATATTATATAAAAATGTAACATTTTTTTCTGTTTCTTATGTTCCCCTTTAGGTAATTGATTTATATTATATTGGTTAGAGCTACGTTTAGTATACAGGTACATTTTATTATATAGTATATAATATACTTATCAACTTTTTTTAAATTTAAAAAATAATTTTACACTATTTTACTTCATGTCAGTTGTCGATATCCTGTCATAGTTTGTACAGTATATAAACTGTTTTATTATTATTAAAATAAACACTAACTAAAAAATAGTCAGTATACCCAAATCGTAGTAAATTTTGATATGTAATTATATAATATTCATAACTATACAGGCAAATAATTTAAAAAACAATTTAATTTTCAATTAATTTTTTTACTCAACGACAAGTTTTAGTAAAAAAATACCGTGGTCATCTTGATGGATAAACTAATTTTAATAACATAAAAAAGTACACCCATAGATTTAGTTTTTAACTAAAATATCGATAAAAAAGAAGAAATAATAAATGTACCACACTTTCTTTTATACCCAACCTATAAAATTATAACTATGATATAAAATAATTTACTCAAAATTGATTGATAATAAAACAGCATCACATTCTGATAAATTCTAGCAATAATAATATTTTTAATCAATACTTAATATAATTAATAATATTATACTATTCAATTTTTATAAACACCTAAAAAATATTTCATATTCGTATTAATTATCAATAATATACACGAAAAAAGTTTTTACAGAACAAAAAAAAAAAAACTGAAATAGTGGTTTCTTATTTGTAAGGTAAATTATGTTAATAATTAAAATTTACGTAAAATAAAATTATTTAATATTGATTATTAAATTACTGGTTATAGCACTTATTATTTATTGCATACAAATTAAAACAATTGTTCCTAATTATCATACTACTTTTCAAGCACTAGTTATATCATTTATTTGTTTTATACCATAATATAGTGTCGTATAATTTTGATTCAAAAATTATTAAAGTGCCGTTTAATAAAATACCAATAATTTATTATTGTTTGAATATTAAATTTACTATTGTTATTTCATGGATAATAAAATAATGTAAAATCTTTCGTAGGTATTTAGTATATTAAAATGACTTAAGAAATTGTTTTTTCTACACTTTTCAAATTTAAAATAAAATATTACATTTTAGTACACTGATCAATATCTATTTTGTGGTCTAACGTTATTTCATATCGTAAATGGAAAACGCTGTTGTTCTTTTTTTATCGCTAATGCTACGCTAACGAAACAAATTTAAAATCCAATCAGGAAAACCTTATCCCAATAAAACCTTTCTAGATTAATTTTCCGTTTACTATTACGACTTATATTAACACAACTTTTTGTCTGTATAACTGCTGTTATTACAACTATTTAACTTTTCATACCAATATATCACGTCATAATGCTGGTATTTAAAACTTTGCAGTACATGAATAAGTCGGGCTCGGTGATTTTGGGATATGGCGCTGAAGACATGATTAACAAGCCACTGGCTATTTTTCACCAGCTGGGTGATATTGACCAAATTACCAAAAAACTAGAGAAAAACATCGAATGGGATGGTAAAGTATCGTGGAAGTGCAAAAGCGGCGAACACGTGTACCTTCATTGCCGAGCTTCTCCTTTTCGACCGTTTGGAAAGTAAGTTTTCGAGTTAAAATAATATAAATGACCTGCGCAAAATTCCAATGGATTTTTCAATCCAAAACACAGATACTTAGTCTTAAAATAAATAAATATTTTAACTACCTATATATAACGTTTACATTTTATTTTATGTATTTAACATTTGATCATATTCCATAAAAGAATTAAGAATTAATATAAAATATAATGAATATAATTTTCACATCACGTATAACAGGTATAAATATCATTACAGTATTAGAACGAATTAGTAATCTTTTGGTTTTATTTGAATAATTTATAAATTCTCATTAAAGCATATTGGTTTTTAGAGAAACAACAAATTACATCTACATACAAGAAAGTATTGTAGATATTCATGGTTTTCCTAGAGGAAGTGTCCCATCCATTCGCAAAGGATCATATGACCTCAAATCTATTAATAGCGATGGTAAGTAATTAAATCTATACATAAGATATTAATTTTAAATACGACTTTTTTAACATGATAAATACATGGCACGCATGCTAATATTATCAAATTCTTTTGGTTAATAATGATATTATAAAAAGTTATGACCTCGTACAAAACACTTATTTTTATAAAACTATCTATGTATTGCATTTGTTTGCAAGGCTATACATTTTAAGTTCAACGACTACGTACAATTTCTATGTTAGTTTTGTGAAGTGAAAACTATACTCAATTTGCAATTAATTTAAATTCTAACTCAACATTACCCTTAACTCTTGAGCTTCGAGGATTTGTGGAATAAATATTAAAATATTAACATAATATTTAACATAGGCTAGATGGCTGCAGGAAAAACATATAATGTATGAATCCATGAGTCTTACCTTCTCTAAAATGTTCGAAAGAGCTATTAAAAATAGACTACTCTCATACCTAGAGGAAAACAATATTCTTTCAAAAAACTAATTTGGTATCAAAAAAAATCCTGATACTTATAATGCATTAGCGTACTTAAAAACTCAGGCATAAATAATAAAAATAAAATAATCGGTGTATTTATGGATCTTATAGCACTTTTATAGACTTTTGATAGAATTTATCATAATACGCTACTAAGTATTTTGTCTTCGATAGGAATAGTTGACAAATTATTTTCATTAAATACTATAATAAAGAAAAAATAATCACCTAAGGAGTTTCACAAGGAATAGTTTTAAATCCAATAGTATACATTATGAATATCTCAACACTAGGCAAAATAAAATCAAACGGAAATTTAATATCATACTTTGATGATACAGTGCTGATAGGGGTGAAACACGATTTCTGACACTTTACCTTTTTCCCAACACGATTACGGACAATCACTATATGACTTGAGACATTTTTTTGTACCCAAAAAATGATATGATTCCGGATAAAATTAGCGAAAAGTTGCCAAGTTGTGCAACGCAGTTTACCGAGCTCAACGATTATCAAGATAAACTTATCATAGTCTAGTGAGTAGTGAACATTATTTATTCCTATTTCGCAGATATATGTGCAACACGCGAGGTATTAAAACAGCTGTGCACATTCCAGATGAGGTATAGTCAAAGAAACGTCAGTCTTTGATCATTTAAGTGATACGACTTTGGTCTTGCACGCGACGAAATATACCTGCACCTTTTTCATTTTCCACCACGCGAAGATAAACTATAGCATCATATCCCTTTTGTGAAGCATCTGTGAATCCAACTAGCTAGATATCTATTGCCTTCCAAATATATATAAAACGAGGTTATTTCAAACAAGCCAACTATGAAAGTTTGGACTCGTTCCATTTTTTGGAAATCTCTTCCGATAGAGTTGTATCCCAATCTAGTCTTTGACACCATATCTACTGCATCACACATTTCACCAAGAAAATCATTGGACTTAGCGCACCAATAAGATCTTATAACCATGCAACTGTTGATTGGATTGAACGTTTTGTGGGTCGTGTCTCTGAAACACTAAACCGATAACCGTAAACCATCTCTCACACATTTCTTCCTCCATATCCTCCATAGTTGAAATGATCAATCCGTGAAGTTCTTCGACCGCCCAAAATTGTTGCATAATTTCATCTATAACTGATGTTTTATTAACGACTAATGACACTGCTGATAACGTTACCGAATCCTTCAATGCCCCGACTATTACCCATCCTAATTGTGTGCTGAGCGCTGATGGTAATCCAGGGCTATGGACGATATCTGATCTAGTACACAACACCAATGGATATAGATCTCCTCCTATGAGCATATCAATAGGACTTAGTGTATCAAATTCAGGATCTGCCAATTGTAAATGGCCATATCATTCATGCACACTATTTGATATTTTTTCATAAAGCATCGATGCAGTGATTTTGTTAAGAATAGTGATATTGGTTGCCGTAAACTAGATTCATTGAATTTCAACGGAATAAAATCACACGACGTCAAGCCCTTAATTAATTTAACCCACTGTTGGGCAAGACCGACTACCTCGGTTCGGCTCTTGAAACGCAACAAACCTAATCTATTTACACAGTCTGTTGTAATCGCTGAAACCTATGACCCATTATCTAACAGAACCCGGAAACACATATTCTCCCGAAGTGTCTTTCACAAACACTACAGCTGAGGCTAACACAACTCCTATGTCCGAATGCGAGGTGCCTGAAAAACTAACAGATGACGAACCCCCTTCATTATTAGTTATCGTGGTACTTGATTTTTCGTCTGATTTCACCGAATCCGTACTATTTGATGTTGTTACATACTTAACATCAACGTGTAATAATATATTATGTCGTCCATTGCAAGATTTACAAAAATATATTGACTAACATGCATTCGCGATATGATCGGTACTTAAACAAATAAAACACAATATTTTCTTAACAACCAACACTCGCCGTCCCCTCGCCGATTCCTTTTTAAATGCAAAACATCTTTATAGCGCATGATCGCGTTTGCAAAATAATCATTTTACCGTCTTATTAATAGTAGTAGCCGCTAAAGATGTCATCCCAGACAACCGCTCGCCCTTGATCTTTTTAAAACCACTGCTACCAATTAATTGTTTAGATTCATGAGTTCTGACATTTTCCAAAATTTTGCATTGAAACGCTGCGAAATCTAATAATTTATCCAACTTTGGTATTTTGTCTGTCGATATATATTCCTCAAATAAACACCGAGTATCTGTATATCTAAAATACGCGCACCGATATAGACAGTAAAAAGCCCAGTTAATCGTCAACGCCCAATGCTTTAATCGCAGCGACGTTCTCGCGAAACGTACTAATAAACGACATTAGTGCCGGGACAGATTCGCGTTGAATACGCTCGAATGAAAATAACTTATCTAAATGCGCAGTAATTAGATGTCGTTTATTGTCGTACTGATCATTTATAGCACGCTACGCAATGTTATAATTTTCAGCCGTTAATGGAACCGATTTTACAATCATTAACGGAGGACCTGATAACGCCGAAATTAAATAATGGAACCGTTCTATATATCCGTAAGAACGTTATTTGTGTGTACCAATGACACAAACATATCACGAAATGTACACCATTGTATAGCACTGCAGTCAAATTTGGGTAATTCGACTTTCGATAAGCTTATGGATTGAACCGTATGAGACGAATGTCCATCAGTATGTATTTCACTAGATTTAATGAGAGACAACTGTAAAATAGCTAAAACTGTTTTAATATTGCCACATAAGTTCTTCATATCATCTGCCACAATTATGTCAAAATAACGCGATCAAAATCACAGTGTCTAATTCTACAGAGCGGATAGAATTTCGTTTTAATATTTTTCAAATAATTCGGTAAATTTGTGGAGCGAATCTGAGCACGCAATGAATCATTTCATGTTGATACATTTCGGGATTCACTGAAAGAACTTCAGCTAGCTTATTCAATTTCCTGATCAATCGCAATACGCTATCACGTGCAACGCTTGCCCGAGTGAGTGACTTCGTTAATTCCGACGTAGTATCCGTTTGACGTTTTGGACGGACCATAATTAACGTATATTAATAAACGAACAAATAACAATTCCCAAAATCCAGTTCGAATGGACCAAAATGGTAGACACAAACTCACGCTTATATATACGGCGATTATATACTTTTCGGTCGAAATATAATCACAAAACAAAACAAAATCAATTTTAACAATCTATTTGACAATATAATATATAAAGTATGTTATGCCTAACACTTAATGTATAGAAATATCTCTGACCTTTGTCGCCGATAGCACTGTACTCATCACATGACCAACAACACTCATGTGTCACGAGTAGACCGTAGAAAACAATACCGTTGGATTTATATCATGTGAAAGAAAACGCACCATTCGTATACAATATTAATACATTGTTTTTTTTAATACACGAACAAACGAACGCACCGTTAGCATCAACGAACACGCACAAGATGACGGACCACGCAACGAGCCGTTGACAACAACTGGGTATATTATATCAGAAACTGAGTTTACTGCCAACAACGCGGGCGGGGATGATCGATGTTATTGATCATCACTCATCAATTATTTGAAAATCACCTTTTGATAATCGAATAGTATAAAACAAAATGATTTAAGAGACATTAATAACTGGTTCCTAAAACATAAATTAAAATTGAACTTTGATAAAACTAACTTAATTACATTCATGTGTGATAAACGAACACTACTAAGTTTCAAAAACTTAAAAATTCATAAAAATAAATACATAAATAAAAATTGTTCTTAGGTATTCTTTAATAATCCAAAAACTAACATAAAATATTTAGGTATTGTAGTCGATCAATACTTAAAATGAAAAATTCATATTAATATAATGTTATCAGTAAATTAAGAAAATTAATCCACTTTTTTATGATATCTAAAAAACTAATCAACTCACATTTTCTCCGAATACTTAACTTTGTTATGTCACAATCAATTTTACAATATGACTTACTAGCTTGGTGGAGGGGAATGTAGTCAAATCCAAATAAACAAAGTTCTAGTTGCTCAAAAATATATAATAAGATTAATACTAAACAAGCCTAAAACTTTTCCACTGGAGATAATATTTAAACAATTTAATGTTTTAAAGTACCTACTAAATATTACACAGCTATACAATAAAAGTGAAATATACTATGTTCACAAATAAAATTGAATTAAAATTAAACCATATAAATACGATATCAGAAATAGAAATATTAAAATACCAGCTACTATATCATCGAATTGTAGTAATTATTTCATCCTAATTGGTCTAGGTCGTATGCCCAATTCATTATAGAATCTCCCATCAATTAACAACTTAAAAAAATACGTCAAACTATGATTAATAAAAACAGACACGAATACACTATAAACTAGATCCATATATTCCTCTAATTCTCAACGCACTATTTTATGTAATATTATAAACTTCTGTTTAATTATTATTATTATTTATTTTGTTTTTCTCTTTCCCGTAGGTGCAATTAACATTTAAATATCTAAATTTTAAGTTTTTTCTTTTTTTAGAACACCAATACTATTCTATCGATAAGAGGTTTTGCTCAGTGGTGGATAGGTTTCATAATAGTTGTATGTAATAAAAAAAAAATGTTTACTTTCTTGAGTCAAATAAGTTATTATTATTATTATTATTATTATTATTTACACAACCAATTAAAAATCTAAAGTATTATTTAATCATGATTATTACATAGCATTATCTCTAATTTAATATTTTAAAACAAATTCCTCTTACATAAATTCATGAAAATCAATGAACTAGAAACTTTTCTTTATAGATTAATAACATAAGCTTTAACTTTTATAGAAATAATTCCATCTGTTATATTATAATTAATAACAATTTTCCTGAGACCTTGCGCAAATATCTGTAGAAGAACTCTCATTACTACTGCTGTCATTACAACATATATATAAAATACCTTAATATTATTTTATTAAATTGTTATGAACTAAAAATAATATAAACAAAATTAATTTTTAGATTAACGTAATCGTATTAATTATTAATTTTAAATGTGTAAATAAATGACTAAATAATTATGTTGTACTACAAGTGTATATTTTATAATTTTGTATAAAATAACCAGGTATATTATATACACAATGTATTACACAGCACAGCACCTACTCGTAAATCGCACATGGTTTGAAAAATAACTTTTATCATGTTCAACTATCATTAATTAAATTTACACATAAATGTCATCTGAACCCTTTTTACTCGAAACCCCTTGATTATAACCAAACATTGTACCTGTGTAATAGGCAAAAATTACTTTTTAAAGCATTCTTGTTTAGAGTCAAATATAATTTATAAGTATTTTAATACTAATTGTGACCTTTTAAATAGGCACATCAAAAAACATAATTGGACAATACCGAGAATATACTATATAAATGTTAAAAGACAAAAGCATATAACAAAAAATAAATATATTTCCTGGCTGTAATTGCTACTCAATTAATTATTATACAGTGTCTAAAATATGACACTATAAAAGATATTTTGTATTTAATTATATAGAATCGTATTATCTCTAGATACTGTATCAATAAATAGTCAATACGGAGTAAGCTGAATCTATTATTATTTAAGTTGTATTATTTCTGATAATACAACATTTATAAAACCAAACTTTATTATCTTTCCAGTCGATTGAATTTTTGTAAATTATATTTCGTACAAGAATGGTCTAATATAATCATTTTTATATGTCTAAATCTAATATATATCATTTATAAATATATATATTATTAAAACACTAGTTGAAGAATTAAATCACAATAAATTAATGATTAAAATACATTAGAACTTTAATAAATATAATTAAAATAATTTATTATGAGGTACGAAAAAATATACTATGATGTACTTTTAATTGCCTGCTCATAACGCCGTGCAATCATTATTTAAACAATTTTATTAATTTTAGTAAATTAATTAAAAAAATAGTAATTATAATTATACTCGTTGATTATAAAATCTTACTTTCGCTTTATATTAAATATACCTATATAGACACTAAGCAGATAAAATTACAATTTTATTTTTTGTATATTATTATAATACATTCGCCTCTATGTAAAATATTAAAAATTATTACTAAATTTGTGAAATAAATTTTTATCATTTCTAAATTTAATTTATTAGATTTTTCTATAATAGGCGCACAATCAGCTCGAAGACAAAGTTTGGCAAAATTACATAACTTGCCACTTGAAGCGCCAATCACAAAAGTAATTTCATTGATATGTACAGCTCAAGAAAACTCAAACGACCAAGTCGTACAAATTTTGGATAAAGTATGAGTCTCAAATTTATGTTACATTATTAGCAAATATAATATGTCGAAAAAATACAAATTATATAATATTATAGGTTGTTGATATATTACGTGTTACTGAATTATACTCATCACATTTAAAAACCGAAAATATCAAATACGATGATCCCGTTACGTCAGATCTAATCGGAGCTCTTATTACGGTACTGTTTTTCAACAACATAATAATTATGTTAACATACATGTAACACTAGATATATTATGCTTTGTCTTATTTTAGCAAGGGCCTGTGCACGTGACGTCTACTCGAAGAAGCTCTAATGATTCAGCGACTGTTAAGAGTCAGCCTTACGGTTTGGGTGTTGCTAAAATGAATTTTATGACAAGCGTAACTCCTCAAATTAAAGAACTCTTAGACATGTCTCTTTATTGGGATTTCAATGTATTTAAGCTCGAAGAACTTACTATGAAAAGGTGACGGATATAATAATAACAATTTTGACCATCATTCTCATTGATAATCTGCTGTTTAAAAATCAAAAAAGTAGTTTTATTTTCAAATCTTGATTGCTGTAAAATGTAACAATAAAAGCCCCCCCACTGGCCCCACTATAAAAATAAATAAAGAAAACTTAAACTTTTTAATATTTTTAACGTAAATGGTACAAATAGTATTCAACCAAGTAACCAAATAATGCTTTTGCTCATATTTATCTGGTTTTATTTATTTTTCCAAATTAGTAGGTATTAATTATATTGTTTTGTATTTTATTTTCAATTTAAATAAAAAAAATAAAAAAAACATTAGTTATTCTTTCTTTTAGGCCTTTGGTACATCTAGGAATGAATCTACTGACACACTTTGAAGTACATAAAACATTGGGTTGTGATGAACGAACATTGCACGCATGGTTAACTGTGGTCGAAAGTCATTATCATGCTAAAAATACTTACCACAACTCCACACATGCCGCCGATGTTCTCCAAGCAACCGCCATGTTTTTAGAAAAAGATCGCATAAAGAGGCTTTTGGATCAATTAGACGAAGCTTGCTGTCTGATTGCAGCGATCACACATGACATCGATCATCCCGGAAAATCGAGGTTAGATCACATTAAAACTAAATTTAAAGCATTTAGCAATGTAATGACGTATTATTTGTTCATTAGCGCGTTTTTATGTAATTCTAAAAACGATTTGGCCATCCTGTACAACGACATAAGCGTTTTGGAATCTCACCATGCCGCTTTAACGTTTAAACTTACTACCAAGGACGAACGATTAAACATTTTTAAAGGTACGTATTTTGGTAAATGTCCAAATTTAGTTCACTTAGAAAAATAAAAATGCATTTAGGTCTGGAAAAAGACACTTACAAAGTGGTAAGACAGAACATTATCGACATGATATTGGCCACTGAAATGACGAAGCATTTCGAACATTTAGCTAAATTCGTAAGCGTTTGTAACAAACCATCGACACTCGACGAAGTACCCGTCGACGGATTAGTAAGTATAACAAACCCTCTCAACATCATAGTTGACAATTGAATGATTTATCTTTACGATAGTGAAACGTTAATACCATATAATTATTATAGACTCCTAGCGAAGTGAGTCCTGAGACTATAATGCCTACCAGTGCCGAAGAAGTAAATCTAGTGAAGAGAATGTTAATTAAATGCGCAGACGTATCCAATCCGACTAGACCATTAAAAATGTGCGTGGAATGGGCTAAACGGATTGCCGAGGAATACTTTAATCAAGTAAGAAGTTAAGCAATCCTTTCGTTTATTAAAAATGTATTTTTGTTTAAAGACTATATTTTGAGTAAAAACAATTTATTTAATATAATATGTACCAATAATGACGTCTTAGTACCTATTGTAGGTACCTAAGTAATAAATACGTTTACACAATAATATATCCTATCCCCTGTTTTTGTGCAAGCTGTGAAGTACCTACGACAAAATATTTGTATCACAATATAGCGTGCAGTACAAAAACACAAATGTGTAGCCATAAATTTCCTAGAAAGTGTTTATAAATTTACAACCCTCCTTTCCTTACAAATATGATTGATGTATATAAAAAATAAACATTACGATTTTCTTTTAAAATAGGAGCTGAAATTTAACTTCATAATGTACACTCTTGTATATTCATTATGTATGTATGTTCAATTAATTATAATTTTTTTTTCTCTAAATATTTATAAAGTACTTTTTCTAGGTCAAAAAGCTGGAAAATTTAATACAAGTTTAACTTAAAATAAAATATTTATACAAATTTTAAGCCATTAATAACACGAACTTATTTACACTGTTCTTAAATACGTCGGTATATTGACTATGGAATATGATGCATTATTATATAACATAATAAATAATATTTTGAGTAACATAAATTAATCATAAAATATATACATTCTTCATTGCCTTGATATTTTTAGACAAACTGTACTTGGAAAATTGTAAAAATCTAATTGGTAAAAAGTAAAAACAAACAAAATCTTAAATACGTATTTTTAATGCATTAATTTAGAAACGTTATAGATTTGTCTAACGTATTTTAATCTATATTTTCAGACTGATGAAGAGAAACTTAATCATTTGCCAGTGGTTATGCCAATGTTTGACCGTGCGTCGTGCTCCATACCAAAATCGCAAATCGGCTTTATGGACTACATTATAAACGACATGTTTGAGACGTGGGACTGTAAGTTACATCTAATCCGATACTAATTTCATTCGGTCGTATATTTCTATAGTTCAATAATTTTTATAATTTATCTATTATTGTATTTTACAGCATTTATAGACATGCCCGAGATGTTATACTACATGAGGAGCAATTATCAATACTGGAAGGATCTGGAAGAAAAAGGAACGATCAGCTTTAACGACATTTGTAAAATGATGACCACCACTTTGCCAAAGATACCTGAGTCCGGTGGCAACCACTGAGGAAAACTATGGTTACCGTTCTACAAATTACAGTGCCCATCGTTATACTGAACATAACGATTGGCGGATAATAATATTTTAAAATGAGTTGTCCTGTGAATGTCTGATAAGAAATTTATCCAACGATTCTGTCGATATAACATCGCGGAAATATTGTTTTATATGAATATTTATTTTTCGTCTACACAGAACATAAGAAAAATGAAGTAACCGACGCAATATTTATCTCTATGTATTAAATATACTTCTCTTTAACTAGTGTATGCTATTTTTAACTTGAGTATACCTTCAAATTAATCAGATTTTTTTAGTATGATTATGATTATTGTTTATCACTTTGATAAATTATGTAAATTATACTGGTACGCTATTTTTTGCGTTTTATTTTAAAATATCTTCGGTTTACATAAAATCGAATTTAAATGCTATTTGGTGTTTATAAATGATAATTATTATTATACGTTAATTTTTTTTTTTTAGCATTTAGCATTTAGATTTTTCGCCAATACTTAAGGTACCTTAAAATATTATCACGGTAAATCATTTTTGTTACCATTAAGATTAACTAAAGACTATTAATATTACTTATTATATTGTATCGTAAAAATATATATAAAAAAAAAATACCATTTAATTTGCAAACATTTTGGGTGCTTCCTGATCTTGTGTTATATAATTTTGCCAAAAAAATAATTAGATTTGGTTTATACATAGCTAAACATTTATAAATTGAAATGTATTCATTTGTGTATATTATATTGCATATCCAAGCACCTTAATATCCAAACTTGTACATTATTTTGAGTTTACACACAAAGAATACTATAAAACATTATATAAAATTCTTTATACTCAAACAGTTGGCTTCAATTTCATAATCCATCGTAATTCTGAGTAAATTCAAAATAAGATTCAAATTATAATATTACCTGCTATTACAGTTTTATTGAATACCTACACAAGCGTTCTTCCAATCCATAATTGAAAAACATGAATTATTAGCTTGTCAACCATATCTATTATTACATTTCAACAACATAATTAACAATTTTAAATTAGTTATAGATAACTATATACTATACGATATATTTAAAATGTTATAATATAATTATTTATTATTAAAATACTATAAAACCTATATGAAGTATTTAAATGTATTATTGTATAGTTTTTATACATATAGTTATAAAGGCGAACCCAAATTGTAAGTATTAAAATAAAAATAATAAAAATATATTCTCTTATTGTTATCATATAACGTATCAATATTGGTGTAATTGTTCATTAAAACACATGATCAAAGTCAGTTACCACATACTTATAGTCTATAATGCACATGAAATATTATATTTGACATGGTATCTAAGAACTGGATGTACACTAAAATGATCAATTTGTATTTTATCTAGATAAACTACTTATTTAATTATAGTAACTTGATAATTATTGAAATATTTAGGTAGGTACGCATTATACACATATATTATAATAAATTTAACAACTTTTTTATGTTTCATAATATAATATTATTTTACATTATTGTAAGCTTTGAAATATTGTGTTTTAATAACTTTAGTATGAAAATAACTATACACTATATCATTCTTCATTGTATACTTTATGATTAAAAGTTTAAAAAACTTACCAATATTATAAATTATTGCGTATTGATTTTGTTTGTTTACTGTATGAAAGTGACTATGATTATTTTTTTGTTATGTGTCCATTTTCTATTTGAAAATTAATATTTTATCTTTTTTAGTTATCAAGCAGTATTTTTCAACAACATAGTCAGAGTAACTGAATAAGTGACAAAAAATAAACAATAAAGTTACTAAGTATTGAATGTGAATACCTATTGAAAGCCAAATGAAAGCAATAAGTAATCTATAGTTTAAATATAATACTTACTCATCTTACTCTTTACAATGTGTGTAGTTATAAGTTAGCGTATTATTATATTTTAATACTGTTAGAGAAGGAGCAATTTTAATTTTCTTTGTTATTATCGTAGTCTACGATTTCTTCAAAAATGTTGTTTCAAGTTTTTCAGAATACTTATAATAATATGGTTATTGAACCATTGCAATAATAACCATTTTGTTATTACTGGTATGATGTACAAAATGTGTTACCTATGTAATTGCATGTACAGCCAATTGTGTGATATGTAAATTTTAAATTAGATAATACATATATTATTTCCATTGTCCACATGTGCTTTAAGGACAAATTTTTAGGATGTACCTACAAACTATTTTCACACTAGCATAATTTAAATATTAGCATTAGTAAAATTATAAAATCATTTTTTTGTGATAGGTACTGTAAAATAACCAGATACATTAAGACATATTTTATGCAGATAGGTATTTATTTTTTATTTTTATTTTTAACTATTTTCTACATATTCATTATTACAATTATACAAATTTTATGCTATTTATACTTAACCACATTTCAAAACAATTTTGAAATCATAAACTAATATTAAGAAAAAAATATAATTAAATACAATATAATCAATGGTGATTATTGCTTATAAATGAGTTTTAATTTGGAATCAATTTTATCGACCTATATCTTAAAAATATTTTTTATAATATAAACAAGATTTGATATATTTATAGGTACTATAGGTCAGCCTGTATGAAGGTTCTTTATAAGTATGCAACTGTGACAACTTTTAAGGACGTTTTTATTTAAATACAAATATACCATTGACATACCTAATAAAAAATTACTAATGAGTTACATAATTTGTTCATAATTGCAAATTTTAATAAAAATATATAAATATATTAGTAGAAAAATATTTTGAAAAGAAAAACAATTTTATTTATTTCTCCAAAATTTGATAAATTTGTGTCCGAGATTAATGCAACTATTAAAAATGAATTACGCCATTTTTGTTGGATAATTTTGAAAGGAATTTATCGAAGTACAACCTAATAATACATTTAATTGTTTAAGTTATTTTAAAATCATCCTATTATCTGTTATGGAATTAACAGTTTAAAGTTTATACATTTATCGAATAAATTTCACTAATTGTAAATAGAAAGTTACTTTGAATATAGCATCTAGCCAGTAATAGTTTTAAGTTAAATAATGAATTTTTTTTTTTTTTTGGCATAAAATATGATAATAACAGTTATGTATTACGTACCTGTATGTCGTATGACTGTATACATGAATTATTTACAGTAAAATGTATCATCACACAGTACAGTACCAATAACAACTAACAAATGGCAATTACTAATATTAGTGATAAGTGATAACCTTGCGTTATCTGTCGTAAATTGTAAACTAAACTAAGTACTCACTGCTTAGAAATTGAAAATTTTTAAAAAATCAATGTTTTCACATGCGTTCATTTAATTATTGCAATTAAAACCAATTTATAAATCGATTGTTATCATTTAAATGTTTAAATTTTATAAGTGTTTCATGAAAATTTTCTGGTTCGCCTCGAAGAAAACCACTTTTGAAAAAAACAATTTTTTCCTATTAATGTTTTGTCAGTTTTACTTGAAAATTATAATAGTATATTTATAATATAGACCGTATTATACATGTCCACGTACACACGCGACGTAATAATGGTTACGTAAAAAATACAAAGTTTCTCCGGTAAAAAAATATTAAAAAAAAAATAATAGTGCGTTATTTCGATCACGGCAGTTTTTATAGTTTTTCAAACGACGCAATTTCGTTTAAACATAATATTATAATATAATAACTACCTATATATTACATTACACGCTTAAGTATATTTTATTGTTTATAATATTCCTTGGTAGATGTGCCGGAAAACGGACGGTCGTGTCGCGTCGTCGGGGTCGATGCCAAACTAGGTCGAAACGATTTACCACGCTGAGACACCGCTGCTAAAACGAACAGCACCAGAAGACGTAAAATACAAATTATAGTATATTATTTTTACTACGCCATACATAAAATGACTGTCGCCCGACCTAGTAGCCCGATTAAACGGCGATCGCAACCGCAGATATAATATCGGAAGTATACTTACACACAACGTCCACCAGCTATGATACGTCGTATACACAGGAGACACGATTGTAACAACACGATTCCTCAATCCTGATCCTGCAGCTCTCTTACTCCAACTATAGTCCATCATAATCCTATCTCTATATCAGATCTAGTTATCATCCATATTGCTGTTTAATAATAATAATTAATATCATACCACTATGATGCTAGTACCTACTACAAATACTAATTGTCTATAAAATAATAAGTAATAACAACGACGTCTCTCGTCACCTATAAAAATGTAGTATACATGTAAATTATTGTAACTACATATAACATGGATTTTGTCGGAATTCAATCACCTAGGATACATTGATACATATCACTTATAAGTCCAAAAATTTGAAGTTTCGAAAAGTTTGATAAATGTTCAATACGACGTTTGAATTGCTTGATATAATTTAGATTAAATACGTAGTAATTCAATCAAAGTTGTTTCAAGCTAATTGGTGCTATTAAAGGTAGCTAGTTATTCGATATTTTTTGTACATTTGTAAGAAGGAGACAATAAACATGCGGGTTCAATAATTTATTATTTTACCAATAAATTGATTTTTAATTATTTCAAGCACTCAAAAAAATAAATATTTTTGAACAAAAAAAAACCTTTTTTTAATTTAAAAACCTACTGGTTATACTTTATAAATAAAGCATAGTATAATTATTCATTTATAAATTAATTATCATTATTGTGGCAAATTTATCAATACATATAGAATTGAAAATAAATTATTTTAGAATGCTAAATTTTGCAAGATTTCTAAAATGAAATAATACATTCAAGCACCTATAGTTAGATAGATGGCGCTCTATATTCGCCAAGTAAGTAGATATTATAATTTATAATATATATTTTAATGCAGATCATAGACAAATTTATTATAGTGCAAATTATCATCTTAAAATACAAATAATTACCTGATCCAAACTCAATAAAAGTAAATGTTACATTAAAAAGAAAATGCTCTTGCCTAAACAGAGAAAATAGTTAAATCAATTTTAAGTTACATTTCTAAGAAGCACTTGGACTAAGCGCATTAATACTAGTATAAATATATAGGAAAGGTGCCCAACTAATTCCATTATTGTTTCTGAATTTGCTTAATATATTGATTACAAATTACAACGTAATCTAACTCAGTAATTTCCCTGTATTACACAAAGTATCTTTATAAGATACCTATTCTTGTAACATTGAAGGAAGTATAAATTTATAATTATCTGTTCGGATATTATTTCAGTTTTGATGAATTGCAATGACGAAATAAAATACAAAATATTACAAGTATCTGTCTA